TGAAGCATGTGTTATTTTCAGAATCTGAAAAAGTGTTGTCCAAGTTTTTGAGATAAATAGAATAACCCAGTCAATTAATATATGAATAGAGATAATTTCACAGAGAACGTTCTGCTAGAACAAAGTTCAGCTGTTTCCAGCATTAGGTGTCTTCACATTTGGAATTAAATGGGCTATCTTTGTCAATATGTCCACAATAACAGGTATGATATGAATCCTCGTTAAGGAAGTAGATTAGCTATGAAATTCATAGTAAAAGATACTTGGACTGCCAATGGTTATAGAAGACCATACAGTAACATCCTTGTATTTTTATCATGAGCAAAAATAAAACATGGTTTTATTTAGTCCTTCAAATTCATATTTTGGTCTTGACACTGAAAACCCTTATTGAATAACATTATTTTAATACCAGAATGACCAGTCAAAGTGAGATTGTAGCTGCAGATCTAACACATATTCATGAAAAAATCTATTGCATTCTATATCTCAACCTACATGGTGCTGTTATTTTGTCACAGAGTAAGGGGATAATACAAATGAAGTTGTTGAGTTATAGAATGGTTTCATAAGTAATTGGTTGTTGAATTTATTTCACATCATATTATACTAAAAGAGCTTCAGTCTCAATATCAATGCTATGCAAATAGTAGATCAATTGGTGTTCCATTAACAGAAAGGGAGGAGAAAGAAAGGACACTCCGCAGGACACAGCACAAACATGCAAATATTTTTTTAAAAATTGAACATACATGGCACAAAAAAATAGGAGAGCACAAATGCAAAGGTACAACAAAAAGAGCTGCCTAACGCATTTCGTGCCTCATACCTTTTCAGTATTTAATACAGTTGCTTGATCTGATTTCTCGATTTTTGGATGATACATGACATGGAAAACAGACCTTTAAAGGTGCAATTCATATCTAGCTCATCTAGTACAATCTATGTTAGTACACTTCAGATGTCTTAACTCAGTGATTATGGTTAAGAATGTGTAATTATTGTCTCCATTCCTGAATTGATAAACATGCTTATCTCTATATTTTAACTCAGAGTGTGTCATTTTATTTCTGAAAATAAGGCAGAACATAGTGTAATTTTCTTGGAGAAGAGATAGCACCAATTTTCATTACATATTGACTTCCAGAAAGAAAAGGCAATGAGGTGTCAGAAAGGATCAAAACTGGAAAGGTAGAAAGAGTTTGTTTCAAGATGTCAAACGCTTTCTATTTGTGTAAATCAGCTTAATTCAAAAATGTTTTCTTATTTTTTTTGCAAGAGCTGTGAGAAGATAAAAGGATTTCCTCTACTTCTCTGAAAAACCATGAGGAGCAGACCACTGAAGAATCCATTTTTGTCAATCTGTGTTCATATTTTCCGGATAGGTAAAAAAATACTAAGAAGAAATTCTAAGGATAAAAACTTTCACAAACATTTCTCCAACTTGCAATATAGAGAGTCCAGGGAAATTGATGAAAAGTCCTAAAACGAATATATTAAATATCGGAATATTGTCTGAATGTACAATAAAAAAAAATAATAATTCCAGAAAATATAATTGGAAAGTAATGGCAGCATCGCTGGAAAAAAACATAAAAAGAGCATTACAATTAACACTTATTAGAAACGGGTCTGCCCAGAAAATTGATAGGCCTGCCCACTCATAGGGCATGACAGCCTGTCTTGTGGCCCCTTTTCAAAAGGACCATGCAGGGAGTGCTGGTGAGGCACTCTCTACATGGTCCTAGTACCCACTGCACTGTGCAAGTCCAGGATGCGGGACACCAGGGAACTAAAACGGAACTCCACATAGTTACTTATGTATGTCAATATGTAAGTGTCAATCAACCACATACATTTCCTAATATCAAAACATGACATTATCACCAATCCCACTGATGTGCTTGTAAATTTCTATGCAGTTCCAGAAGAAGCTTCATTCCCACGTCATGGATATGTCATCTATCACTCTTATATCACCTTGTCTCTATACATATCCATTTCATATATCACTTACACTTTCACGTATACCATAACAATGTTTGGATATACAAGTTGAGAAGGTAAAGGCAAAATGGAACTCAAGTTTCTGAAAAATATTTAGAGGGTATGTGGTAGAACTGTTTTCAAGCTGTGTCTAGAAAATCTGTATTAACATGGTGGTGATATATAGATGACATATTGGCCTTCACTCCATTGTATCTCCTATTTATAATCATGTCAGTTTTAAACAACAACAAGAGATAATTAGCATATGACTTCCAGAGAAATCATCTGTCATATTCCAGGTTTAATCTTATCAACAATTTTGAGAAATTAACTAAAAAAACAAATACGGCAAATACTTATCAAAGAGGTTTTTGTGACTTCTGTTTTGTATATATGAAAATGTAAGCATTGTTTACTCTTGAACCTCAGATATTTTAGTATATTTGTATCTATGATAATCAAGAATCTATAGGATAATTCATTAAAATGTTTTTCTTTTGCGAGATAATGATACAAAACATATATTAGCAGGGTTGAATAGCCATTGTTTCTTTTACCTTTTGATTAAAATCTGTGAAGCATAAATAATAGTAATAATAATTGAAAAGTATTTAACCAGGAAAGGTACATTCAGATTACTCTACTTTCCAAGCATGCCTTGGGAACTTTTGCAATGCAGTGCAGTGCCCACATCACCTAGAAATAAAATGACATACAAAAAATATATATAACATGTTTCTTTTAATATTTATTATATGTGTAATCTACTTTGTTAACAGTACTGATGGAAAATAATAAATTATGAAAATTTATTTTGCTATATAATAAATGGAAAATGAAATTTTAGAAGTGGTCATGGTGGTAGCAGTCTGTATATGCATTGTTTCTACTTGAAACTCTGCTCATTCAGACATATTTGCACTTTTGTGCCAGGGTATAGTTATACCACCGGCACATTACTTAGAACAGAGTTAATACCAATCCTGTACAAAAATTATGTCACTCGTCAGTGCGCACAGTGAGCTGTCAAAAGACAAAATGAGCTTCTTCCTTGCGTGTATTTCCTCTTCCTCCCCAGTCCTTCCCTCCATCCTTTCACTTAAGTCCTCCACACCATCCCTGCTTCCCCTTATTCTTAACAATGTCCCCTCCCTCTTTCCCTCCCTTGTTTAAGCCCACTGGATGGGGGAAATGATCCAATCAAATGCTTCTCTATGAGAAGCATTTCATTGTGCCACAAGAGGGTGCTAGTGAAATTGGATGGAGATGTGGGGAGCTTTGTCCAGCACTGGATTCCAGGAAAGTCTCTTGCTTCTTTAATAGGGTATTTAAAGAAAAATGGGGGGAGGGTGGACATGCATAATAGGGCCAAACAAGGCCTTATAAATTAAAAAAGCAAAGGGGAAAAAGTTAGCTTAACTCTTTAAGTAAACAGTGAGTTTTTCATCTGATGTGTTTGTTAAACGTTATCACACCTGTAAAATACATTAAAATAATAACTGAAGAACCAAAGAAAACCAATGCCCAACATCAAAATTCAACATGTCAGTTTGTTACATAAAAGAAGTGTAGACAAGATAGTGCATTTCGGTTATTGACATTTTCTTCTGAGATGTTCACAAGACATACAAGTAAATTCAGCAAAACAAGTCCAATTACCTTGCAATCTTAAGGTATCACAATGTATCATAGGAGAGGTTTATTGCCTATTTCAGGATCGGTAATAGATCGTTTTCTCACCAAATGCACCCTGACAGCTTTAATAAATTCTGTGTTTTAAGGTTAAACATATTAATGGGGAATAGAGTAATGACCTTTTTTTTAAAAAACAAAATACATAACCTCATTTTCATGTTTATCAGAACCAAATCTATCTACATAGTTTTATAAGATTTATAGTATTTCCTTCACTCTTATTCTAGTACTATTGGATTGTTTATCCAATCTATCCAATCTTCATCTTGTTCCCTCCTCCATAAACTCACTCTTTCTTACAAACCACCCCTACCAGCAGAGTTCATCCAGTGAGATATAAAAAAAATAAAATCTTGGAAAGCACAAATGAGGTACTGGTTGTAAGATTCCATTTTTATTGCATAGATATACTGTATGAGTCCTTATTTGTTTTTTATTTTGTGTTTTAACACTTTCAAAAAGCTTCCAGGTACTAGGAAAATGAATTCAAGATAAAAAAAAAAATAGAAAAGTATATAGTAATATTCAAACAATTACAGTAAAAAAAATCCTCCATTGTGTAAAAAAAATATGAATGATACTACTAATGCGGTTAAAAATGATAAGGGTCATGGGGCCTTTCCTAAGAATCTAGCTTGCGAACAAGTGGGGCAAGAGAACCATGTAGGGGATATTAGAGGCTGATTCTGTGAGGGTGAATCTAACTAGCAATTAACATAATACATTCTTGACAGACAAATTTCAAATCAACAATAAAAGTAGATATCTTTGCAAGTAGTATTTTAAATATTAAACATAATTCAGATAAATATGTAAAACCTCTTGCGTGTCCGAGAGTTTGTGCTCATGTTGTGTTGACTTTTTTTTTTTACATTATTTTCTTTTTTTTTACAGCCAAACAGCCATAATTCATTTCATTTTTGTTTAAGTTTTTTTTAAGTTTTTACATTTATTTCTATGTAACCTTTTATAGCAACAAGTATTCAGATTCTAAACAGTGTTGTAAAGACCCAACAACTGTAAGAACACTGAGATGAATGAATCTGTTTTATGAGCCATAAAAGTTTTATTTATCTTGACGCTAAAACAGGTTTCGTTGACAAGTCTTAAATAAATTAGTAGAATTAATTCCCACTTTTGATACAATAGAATCCGACGTTGGCATCCATGATATTCTTCGCAATTGTCCCTGTTCCAAGTTGATAACAATATTGATATTGTTTATATGTTGTGTTTTTTTTTCTCTCCCTTGCAGTTTGCAAGAGGGCCAGGCTCAGCCACATAGATTCAGCCCGTTTATTTGAAAGCTGGAAAAAAAAGGATCAAGACCTGTTTGTACCACTGCTTCGCCTGACAGCTAAAGAACCAGTTTGGCGTCTGGTTTGTCTGTTGTTTTACTGCTGACCTTCAAATCAACTTTAACCCCTGACTCCTACAAGCATATATCATGACAAGAGCCTGTTTAACACAAATGGTACCCATCTAAAGGGGAAGAGAGTCAAGATTTCCTTTTTTTATGAAGAATTTGGTTTTTCACCCCTCTTTTCTCATTCACCACAGGTGAAATCCTTCCTAGCAGCTGGCTTATGAAATATTGTGATGGGAGGCCTTATTAAGTTGAAAGCAACCTCAGCTGGAGATTAATGTATGCAAATGAGATGCACAAACAAAGGATCCTGGACAGAGAAATATCTGCAAATCCAGCAAAATGCTGCCCGCAGCTAGAAGAAGAACAACAGCTTTGATAAAATGGTAACAAAAAAGCACCTTTTTTATCCTGCAGCATGTTTTACATTGCAATAGACCATTGTCATTGTAACCCATCAGGGCATGCCGAGTTTCTCTCCACTAATTCAGTAACCTGGTTAAACATTTGTTTTAGGGCATTCATTGAATATAATAAACATGTTATTTTATATGCTGATTTAAAGCTTCTTCTTTTTTGTGCTTTTTTGTTATGCTTTCTAATTTGGATCTTTTCTTCCAGTGTAAAAAAAAAAAAAAAGATGTTTTTATTATTTAGTAGAAGATTGATGTTTCTTTTAGATTTGTTATTTAAAAATGTGTCACTAAACAATCACTAATGTAAAGGTAATGAATTATCCACTTTTAACCCTCTGAGTGCTGTGGAGCCAGGGAACATGCCCTCCTCCCTCTCCTCCCTCCCAGCCCCCGGCACACAAATGGTTAATGGTAATTCAAAGAAAAGCTAAACAAATAATTCATTTTTTTAAATCATTTTATGCTTTATGTTGCAATTGTAAAAAATGCAGCGGAATTAAATTACATTAATTTTCAGAAATCGACAAAAAAAAAAGCAAATAGAACCACCTAAATATATTCTCAATATGACAAAAATATGTTTTGAATTAGTTAAATATTTCAAAAACGCAATTTCAATTATTTTTTTTTTGTACAAATAGTACAAACTCAAGAAAAATAGCAAGCAATGTTAAAACAACCTTTTTCTATTTGCTAAAATTTTTGAAAGCCTATAAGTAATATATTTAACAAGGTATGTTAATACATGGAGCATTAAAGGCATTCTGCCATGTGTTACGTATTAATATCCCAGATACACAGTATAGATTACAGGACCAGATACGGCCACATTTTTACTATTTACACTAAATTGTTTTATTTATTTTATGTATTACACCCAGGTCTAATTGATGCAAACATAATATGTGTTTTCTTCAAAATTTGACATTTTAGAATTGTACAACCCTGACGAATATAATTTTAATTAAAACATCTGGCCCACTAATACAAGCTGTTAGTGCATATATGCCACATTTGGTATTTTTGATATTTATCTTCGAGGGTGGTACATAATGCACTGGGAAAAAGAAAAACGTTTACTTAGCTCACAGGACCTACACCAAATCTGCGTTCGCTCGGAGCTGCATATTCAACTTTAACAAATATTTAATGGTTTTGAATGGCATAAGAACCTAAGACTAACAGCAGTTTTAGCTCATTAACTTCAGAATGGAAACATAGATTTAGAGATCATAGCAGGAACATAGTTGCTGTTCCCATCTTTTTTTCTTTTGTCTTCTGCTTATAGCAGTGTAATTATACTCAACTGCTGTTGGATGTGAAGACAAAACAGCAGCTTCTAAACAGAACAATGAAATTATAGCTGAGATTTAAGCTAGCAAATGCCGTCTTCTCTGAGCCTTTATGATTCATTATTTCCCATTAAATACAGTATTAGAAGAGTACACTAGGTAGCTTCTGGTCTCTGATCTCAGAGAACATTATCTATATTACGCAGGTCTGGGGAGCAGCATTAGAAAACTTCAGGGGAATAAGCAATATGTGTTTGCTGTTAGAAGTTCCATATGGCTCATCTTTCTCAATTGCTTTCATTGCTATTCTGATGCAGGAGAAATTAAACTTTATTCATTGTGGCATAGCTTAATGAACTGTCTTCTGTTTGGAAATTGAATATATTTTCTGTTATTTGAATACAGAGCATCTCTGTAGTCCGGTTTAAATAGGTACATAAAAAAAAAGCACAAATGCAATTTAAAAAAAATAATTCATTGAATCTGAGAAGAAAGAACAATATATTTTTTCAGTTTGAAAATACGATTGTGTGCATGATTAGATTAAAAAGAAATGTATGTCTATGATTTATATTATGTAAAATTAAAGAGAAATCTTTGTATGAAGCATTGTTTTATAAAGCAAACAATGTAAAATAATTGATGGATTCACAGATAGATTCTTTAATAGTAAAAATATTTTAGTTTTAATTATTTATATTTGCGGTATAAAATTCTATCAGCAAAACGGGGAGAAAAATAGAGAAAATAGCCATATTTATTTACTTTTACTTTAGCATAGGAAATGATTATAAAATAACGAAATACTGAAAGAAAAAAAACAACACAATATTTGTGGGGTAGAAAAATATCCAGTCTTTAATTCTTATAGTTTCTTCCAGTATAAATGAGAGGTGGAGTGTATTAGACTATTACTGATACTGATATAGACTGACTATAGTATTGGTACTGCCAGTTTGTTTCTATCCATTATGCCTGCAAAGTATTGTCATCGTTATTCATTGTATCTGTGGGACTTGACACTGTAAAATAAATGATAATTAAAAGTCATGAGGTATATAGTCATCATTATTAGCAATAAATAGTACTCATCTACAGCAGAAAACCATAAAATAAAAGCATGCAGATTGTTTTAATTCATGTTAATATGCAGGTTAGCTGGATTCCTGAATTCTTAAAGCACATATGTGATATAAAACACATTGGTGTGTGTATAATATAAATAATATATATATATATCTCAGCTAAAATTTGCATCTTGTAATACCTTTTTTATTGGACTAACAGAATTTTGGAATGACCATATGTATATGTATGTGTTAATAATTTGATTGCATCTTTGTAATATATGAACATATCAAGTCTTGCGACAACACTGGTTGATACAGATGCTTACATGTAAGCAGGCGAACACATGAATGTTCTGCATTTCTACCTGCCAGTGGGTGGTACACTCGAAAGCCAGTAGAGTAGTGCCATGCCTATACATTTTATGATTGAAAATGTAACAGCAGAGATATCTCTTACAGCCGTAGTACTTTTTCTAACAAGACATATTAACCCTTCACTCTGTGTAAATGCATATAAAAGAGCAAGTCACTTGGAATTAGGAACTTGTCAAACTGTAATGCGATGCAATGCCCCTCTAATCCTATCTAGATGCAAACATTACATATCAACATGATTATAATATATTTTTAATTTCACCTTGGGTTTTAGTGTGTCCATTATAATCAGAATGAAAGCATTGAATGGTAAGAAATGGAATCTATTATACTTTACATTTTGCATATTGTTCTACAAGTCTGTGTAGTATAAGAAATGTTAGCCCATTGTATTCTTCACAAATTTATACCTTTACATACAAGAAAATTATAGCAGTTCTGGGCTTTACTATTTATTCAGTTTTGGAAGGCCTTAGTAAATACAATTTTCTGTTGTATGTATAAATTGACAATCAAATATGAACAAATATATACAAAAAAAATGCGTTTTTATTTTTTGGTATATATTTGTTCACATTTGATTGTCTATTATTTTTTTACAAAAATGTCTAAAGGAAAACAAAGCAGAAACCTAAATAAAAACACAACAAAACAAATTTCTAGGTAATGCACTTACCATTGGATATGATTCCAAGTGTTGTGCATTTTGCACATACCTGGCTTTGAAAGAGTTAACCTTCCATAAGGACTATTGCAGGTCAATCCCTTGTTAACAGACATTGAATTGAAAGACTGTTAACCTGCTGTGTGCCATCTCACAATGTAATGAATCTAAGCTGTAGACATGAAAGAGTACACTGATTCCATTCTCCCCATCATGTTTGTATGCTGTTTTGTTTTTTTAGTATTAAAATAATAAGATAATACATATAACATAAGCCATTTACTAGCCCGGTGTCTGTCCTCGAAGAAAGTCTTAAAAATTAACGTGTTTTATTTTGTTGTTTTGTTTTTTTCAAATACCTTGAAGTTAGAAATAAACAAACTGTTCTTTACATTAGCTGCAAATATTTAGCAGTTAAAATTGCTGGTTTGGTAGGTTTTCAGCTCCATAATGTATTGCCACCAAAAAAAAAACGACAATAGAATATACATTTCAGCAAATGGGGAACCACAAATTTCAGTTTAGATGGGTGTATTTTTCATCAAAATTGCACATTTTTATGAAAGCCTCTCACGCGACAAAGGATCCCTTTGAGAAACAGCATTATGCATTGTTATCAGCACGGAGTAATTTGACTGTTGACAAAGTATCTGTGGTGGCAGTGAGGATGAAAGCAGTTAGAAGTGTGGAGTATTGTAATCAAGAAGATGCTTAGCTGTGCAACACTGCATCTTGAGCAGATTTGAATCAACATTGCCTTGAGGGGACACACGCATACAAAAAAAAAAAGTCCATTCATTTTTAGTGAGAAAATTAGAATGGCACTTCATGAAGTGAAATTTGACATGTGTTAATTGCTGTGCAGTTCTCCTAATTAGAGATTTTCACATTCTTTTAGTGCTGTCAAACTGATGGCATATTGTCTTCTCGCTGGACAAATAGTAAAATTACGATTTGGGTGGATCGGGAAATTTAACTTGTTAATTGGGAATTGTTTTACTGCTCACATTGTTACAAGGAGATTGCAGAGTAACGATAGACAAAATTGTGATTCCTTTGGTCTTTTCTAATTGCGTTGCTTTATTACAAAGGTTTTGCTTGTGCCTACCATTCATGTATGGCGTTAACTTTAGCAAAACACTGTTTACGGTTAGCCACAATTATCACATATTGCATATCATAAAACAACATTATTATTATTTTATTATTTATATGGCGCCAACAAATTCCATAGTGCTGTACAATGGGATCTAACAGGACTCATATATCTGAATATAAAATACTTAGTTGAAACAAATGCGAAATGCTAAATCAATGACACATGCAAATACACATATATTAGAAATAATTTGCAAGTGGCAGCAAAAATAAAACTGATTATTGCACCTTCCCTGCTTTTAATTTATTTTATTTTATTTTCCTTGTAGCCTTTCTGCCCCACTTATTCCATTAACATATTGAATCCTTTTTTTTTTCTTTTTCTTTTTTCAATTTTCCATCTCCTTTCAATAACAATATTAATGTAAGGGGCAAAGCTTGATTGGAGTTAAATTACTTGGTACCTGATGGCATTTATTTATATGGCATTGAATTATAAAGCGTTCTTATTGTCATTCCTTAGGCGAATTGTTTATGACACCAGTAATAGGAGTGATTGTTATTGTTGAAATTACCTGTCAGCTTCCCATTGCTGTGGCCC